AAAGAAGCCCTTTGTGTTTCTAAACAGACCCAGGGAGCTTTCCATACTGCTTCCATTTCAAAGTTCCCTGTCACTGAAGGCACAGATGTGTGGCATCTCACTGGATAGACCTTTATGTTTTTGATGGCAGGGGCAGAGCACCAACAGACTTTGATGTTTAGTGCTGGTGCTGAGGGACTGGAGATATTTAATGTGGACACAAAAACCAGGTCCGTTTGGAGGAAAGATTTATTCTGTTTTGGACAAAAGCACGGGGGAAAATAAGAAAAGTCACCGTCTGCTCCATATTCTCATCACTACATCTATAGCAATAATAACGTCTCCAGTCTTCACTTCAAAAATATAATATTTCTGAAGTGCACTGTCTTCAACACAGGATTCTTCCTGAACTACAAGTAATATTATACTGATGTTGCATTGATTACAAATACCAACAACCTGCTTAGACCACTATTAAACAAAACTTCTTTTCACAGCACAAAAAATTCATTAAAATGTTTTTTTGACAGATCTAATTTTGAAGCATAAAAAGTGCATTGTATATTTCCAACAGAATGGAGCAAGTGTTATTTGTCATTAACGTAAATTCAGCCACCTAAAACCTATTTACATGTGAGACAGGGTGTGCTAAATGTTTATGATGGATGGACTATATCTCTGAGATGACAGCGCATTACTTTACTTAAAAGACAGTCTTCTCAAAGTGCTTGCCAATGACCTACTGAAAACATCAGAGAAGGAGAGAATGAAGGAAGGACAAGTGTGTGTGTGTGTGTTTAAGGGGCGTATGTGGAGGCGAAAGCAAATTCTGACTTTCCTGACCCTCACGCTGCACGATCTGAATTTTAACTGCATCATTCGTCAGCAGTCCAGGAAAAACAATTAAAAGGTCCAATCAATGTTCAGCCTTAAGGTCTGAAGATCTTCTAACACACAGCCCTCCTTCACACACATCGCACACAGAATCACACATGATCACAGGCTGTCCAGAGCTTTGATGTGATGGCGAACAGCGAAGGTGAACTAAGTGATGCATCATCAGAACACACAGGGACACCTAAAGGTGAAACACCATGTGCCATCTCAGGCTGACTAACACAAGGAAAACGGTCCCTCTCTTCTTTACTACTTAACTGCCAAAAATACAATGACTTCAAGACTTCAAACGAAGAAGCATTTTATTCAAAGCTTCTATTCACCGGAACTACAGTAGCTGTACACAGTGACAAATTCCTTCACAGAGCTGAACATGATCAAAGCACCCTAAACCTCTCTCAAAAGCTGACAAGGTTAGCACCAAACTTACCCCATCTTGATTTTTTCTCCATTTTTAACACTGTCATTTGTTCTGAAAAATGCCAGAAACACTGTGCAGACATCTCTGAGATCCATACGTAGAGACATTCGA